ACTTTAATTTCATTAGCACTAAATTTGCAATTAATTATCACCTAGATTTGATTACCGATAAGAGAATTTGAGCAAACTTGGTACCCAAGTCACGAACATCCACACTCCATCCAGGTAAAAATAATTATCTATAAGATCAATGTAAAATTAGACGCGCGCGTACAAGATCTTAAAAAACTTTTTAGCGCACTCATTTATTTCGCTGACCTCTCAGCCATAAGTGGTTGTCAATTTTACCGGAATTCTCTAGCTGTAGTAATCCCTGCTTATAAATACRAGACAAAAAAAGTAAAATGTTGTATTTTCGCTTTTATTATGTACTCGATATTTTTGTTTACGGTTTTAATATTGTAGCTAACTTTTCATTATTCTTTTTAAAAAATTTCCATTCGTATAACGTAACATTCTTCCTGTTGGGGAACGGCCGGATACTTTGGTACTGCATAGAATATTTCCTGAGCAATGCTTTGTAGGCACGAGAGAAACGTATTGTTGTTAGACGAAGGATTCACAGCTCCTTCGTGTCCTGCGCCATGGCTCCGGGCTAACTTAACCAATCGATGAAAGAATCGTTCGCCATCGGCGTGCCTGCGGTTACCGTTGGCYCTTTAGCTTATGTGTTTGAAGATCTCTTAATTATCATAGTGAATTTTGTTTGAGGTGTAAGACAAACCGAACAAATCATATAAACAAATACCATCACTAAACAACAAAAGTAGTAGAACCATCAATATCATCATCGTCATGTTCCTCTCCAACAAACCGCAGCAACAATAATTAACAAAACCACATTTGAAAAGTCAGTCTAAGACTTTTCTGAAATTTACCGCAGAGGCCAATCTCGTTTACCGCACTTACGCGAAGCATGCTATAAAACTAGTTCATACATATGACTAGTATCGTTTTACGCCTAAAATGTCGAGGTTATATATGTGTCTCAAGGTTATCCGAGGTATATTAAATAGCGATGAAGATATATAAAGCCTTGGGTAACAAGTTATAAGTTAAACAGGCATGACAAAAACCGAGAGCAAAAAGTAGCTGGAGTATCATGGATTGCACTGCAAAAGTATCTTAGATTGTCATTGATGACTGCGCATGCATAATGACTGGCCGCGCGTCCAGCGGATTATTAGAGATTATTAGAGAGTAAAGAGGGTATTTTTTTAAGGCAAACCAACTCTAGGGTGTCAGAGGGCAGCCAAGCTGACAAGAGGATACCTCTAATGCTATTCATTTTGGGGTACACGGGAATACACACGGATAGATCACAGACAGATGGTCATGACTAATAAACTAAACAAAGTGTGATGAACGTACTAATGATACGTGGGCATATATGTGCGCTACGTGAGGGCCACGTGTTAAATAACTCTCTGGGTTAATTGTGTCACCCTCCTTAAATAAAGTTTATTGTATTGTATTGTATTGTA